ACACACACACACACACACACACACACACACACACACACACACACACACACACACACACACACACGGGAGAAGCTGCAGCAGGTTTCATTTTAAATAGCCTAGCTCTGATGTCCTCTCTGGTCATTTCACAAAGATTCAGAATAATCAGATCATCAGGCAGGATGCAAAAATTCAGAATTTACCTTTCATYGGATTTATTGTTTCTGGGAACACTGCAAGGATAAGAAGTTCCCGGTCTGTAGAGTCATTATTATGATAAGAAAGTAGGGAGAGAGGCTGTATGTGCTGATGTGACTCACCTGGAGGACAGGTAGAGGGATGACATGCAGCTTTACTGGTTTTGATTTTGGCACAAGAAGGGTTCTGTTCACTTTTAGTGAAGCTGGCAGTAAAGACAGTTGGTTTAACGTAAAATAAAAAAAAAATGTGTGTTTGTGTCGATACAAATGTTCGAGGACAAACAAATGACAGTGAGTTTATTAGTTAAATAAACTGCTTTAATGTAAAATAATGAACCCAAGAGGCCAGCTGCTGCATGTTTTAGCTGTTTTTATGCAGGTCTTCTCTGCAGAAGTCACTCTTTCATATCAGGTGAAGCAAAGCAGAGCAACCTGTAAGACATGCAGGACGGCAGTCCTTGAGGACCAGGATTGGACCCAGTTCCACTRTCAGGCCAACAACCTGTTCAAATGTGCACCCCGCCACACCTCAAGCTTTAATAAAAGGCTAAAGGTCAAGGGTCATCAGTGTCAGATCGCTCCATCAGTCTGTTTGAGACAAAGTGAACTTAGGAGGACACGTCAGACTGGAATTAGTCAAAATGCACATAAGGCATCTGGGAGACAAAACTGGAGGTTTTTGGCATGTCCAGTCGGTTCTGTTCTGTATCTGACACAAGGTTTCCTGAATCTGTGCTGGGTGCAATCAAATCTCAAGACTATCAAGGCATTCCGGAGCAAAATAAGCCACCCGGTGTCAGAAAGCTTGGTCTCAGTTACAGGTCATGGGTCCCCTGATAGAATAATGACTGAATGTAACTTCAAACCTGAGATAGCTGGAGCAGATTGATCATGAGGACCATCTGACAGGTGCAGAACTTTTGCMGACATGACTTGATTTGCAGTAAAACGTTATGATTTCAGGAGCTGAAGGTTAAAGTTCTACATGCTTCTGTTTGTGTGAAAAAGCAAAGACTTTCTGTCACGTCTGCGTGCTCAGATCATTCATCTTTTTTAATTTGAGTCAGAAAAGGAAACACAACAAACTGGTTCTCCTGTCAACAGTTTTATTATTGCAAAGCCTTCAGTTTTTGATCTGCACAGAAGTCTGTTTCCTTGGATCCAACAGGGCCCAAATCATTGCTCATGAAATGTGCTTTTAACACTTAAAAAACCCTGCTGAGTTCAGAATAACGTGCAGATTTGGAGCTGAAATCAGGCTGTTTAACGGATTAAATGAGAYGTTTGTGAAGGTGGGCGACAGGAGCAGACACATACTTTCATTTCTCTGCTCATCTGTTTCCAAAACACAAATTATCAACAGGAAAGGTGCTTGGTTTTTTAATCTGCCTGTCTGAGCGTGCCCATGGCCTCTGCAGGCAGCATGTGCTCTTTTAAAACACACACATATTCTGACACAGTGTAAGTTACCACAACTCTGCACAACTTTCTTCCTGATATTTTCTGCTGAGTATAAATCAGTTTTCATTCATAGAAAAGTGAATTTATCTGCAAAAGTAAGTGCATCTCCTTTTAGAGTTCCTATAAATACAACCCCAGCTCGGAAAAGTTTGGATGTTTCGTAACATATGAATAAAAACAGATGCAATGGTTGGTGAATCTCATCACTTTAAACATTTTAAATGTTTCCATTGTGAAAAAAATACGAGTTTATGAGATGTACAAAATGTTTGCTGTCGGTTTTTATTCACATTCGCCGCAACATCCCCACTTTCTGCAATCTGGGATTGTATTTAATCCAACTCTGATGTTTGAACTAAATAGTTAAATTACATACAGAATATTCACAAATAATTAAACACGTTGCGTTTATAATGTAGAAATATGCAAATATTATTATAAAGAAGTCCTTTTTTTTTTTTACAAAAGAATCTTACAAAATGAAAACACCAAGTTTCTGTTGTACATTCAAGCTGAAAAAATACAAAGACTGATCAGTTCCCAGGTGTTATCCAGGTGTTATCCAGGTGTTATCCAGGTGTTATCCAGGTGTTATCCAGGTGTTACGCTGCGACGTACTCCTTAAAGGTAACGGTTAGGCAGTTGGTAGTGATGTCTGTGATGACGATGTTCCCCAGGAAAGGCTGAAACGAAGGAAAAACCTCATCTTTTTTTGTTTTATGGTTTGAGACGGGCTCAGAGCTGTCCTGTGGAGGTTTGTGTGTTTCAGTCTGAGTTTCTGCCTGTGTTTGTGTCTGTGTTTGTGTTTGTGTTTGTGTTTGTGTCTCCTCCTGCCGTAGTGTCAGCACCTCTGCCTGTGTGGCAGAGCAGACCACAGGCCGGAACTTGACCATGCTCAGGTCGATGGGTTCCTCCTGCTCTGCGTAGCCGCAGTCCTGCAGCTCCGCCTGACTCTGCGGTCCGTTTTGGTCGACGCTTTGAGAGGGCGAGGGAACCGCGTCAGAGCTGCTGCAGCTCAAAAACCTCTTTTGCCCACCAGGCTCCTCACCACCTGCATCACAGGACGGTCGCTTCAGTCCCTGAAACGMCGATGGCAGATTAGGTTTGTTTGTCAGCGGCACCGGCGGACCCTCCGGAGGCTGCTCCCCACCCCTGACCTCATCACGCTTATCTTGTTCTGTCACAGTCTGCTCTGTCCKGAGGGTCTGCTCCTTGGTTTTGGGYGAATCTGCGTTTAATCCGGAGCTCAGAAGAGCGGGTTTGTCGRACGGGAGTTTGGCGAACCTGTTCACGAGGTTGAGCTTTTTGACGAGCTTCATCTTTGTGAGGTGCTTCTCCACGCTGCTGCCTGTTCCTGGCRTTGACCTCTCAGCGCTCTCTGGGTCACAGTTTTTGCTTTTTGCCGCCTGCATGTTGCCCTCCATGTACTTGCTCATGACAATGACGATCCGCCCGTTCTTGTTTTTGTTCTTTACGATCTTCAGTTTGCCGCCGCTGACAACGTTGGCCTGAGCCGAAGCGTCCTCTTTCGTTTTCTTCTCCGGCTCTTTGTGGCCRTTAAGATTACCAGGAAGCTTCTGCAGCTCCATGGTGATGTCCTTCACTTTCGTCAGGCAGCCCGAGTCTTTGTCCCGAACCCACTTTTGCTGCAGCACCGGGGGCAGGTTGTATCCTTTGTTAGCCAGCTCTGGAGSCTTRAGCTCTCGGGGTTTAGCCAACACGGGCTCGTGGCCCTTCAGGTCCGGCTGGTAGTGGTGATGCTTCTTGCTGTCGAGCTGATAGTACAGCTTCTTGCTGTTGGCCTGCTGCTCGACCTCGTGCTCTCGGCACAGCGGCTGGTACTGGTGGTGCTTCTTGCCGTTCAGCTGGTACTGCTGGGCCTGGGGACGAAGCGGCTGGACGGGGCCGGACTTCTGACAGGCCTCGTCTTCCAGGGATGACTCCTGGAGGTCAGCCAGAACGCTGGACCTCCTGGCGAAAGACGGCACCTGTGAAAGAAGAAGAGATTTAGTCTTCATCAAAATGCACRAGCTCCATTTTCAGCCGGTTCAGATGTTATCAGTCCATTAAATGAACGTTATTARCRGTTATCAGTCCCATAGAATGGCTTCAGACTGTCCTGACTGTTGGTTACCAGTGCYATGTTGGAATACAACAATCTGCTACCGCCAGAGTTCGGTCTACTTTATTGTAGCCCATGTCATTTTCTCTAAAATTGACCTTAGTGGCTTTATGCCTCATACTAACCAGATTGCATAAAACACCTTAGTGCAGGGGTCTGCAACCTGCGGCTCTGGGGCCACATGTGGCTCTTCAGTCCCTCTGCAGTGGCTCTTTGAAAATGTGACCAAACATAACAGAATAATGTTTTTTGTTGTTGTCTAATGTTTTTTATACTAAAAGTAAAACCTGTTAGCTCATGCTAGCCTGTTGTTTACTTAAATAATCCAAGTTCTTTCTATGACTTTTCTCTCAAATCCACCAGGGTTATCTTTAAATACCTTTACGACTACATAATAATAAGAATTAGAAAAAACATATGCTCGAATAGTTCAGTTATACTAGTTTTTATGAAATTTAGAGTTAAATATATACAGTATTTTTCTTATTTACATGAATCTGGTCTTTTTATTTGTCCTAATGTGTAAAGATAATAATAAATAATACAGTTCACAATATATTGTTTAGTTTATAATGTCACCTCCACTGGCCGTAAAGGTTATTGAAAAGGCCTCCAAAAGGCCCAYGGACCACCAGTTGATAATCACAGTTGCAGCTTGTTTTGCAGCTCTGGACATATTTTRTTAGTGAGTCAAGCAGCAGAAATGGCTCTGTTCATTGTACAGGTTGCAGACCCCTGCCTTAGTGGCTTTATGCCTCATACTAACCAGTGGACAGTCTGAAGCCATTCTTTGGGACTGATAACAGCTCATAACGTCCATTTAATGGATGATAACATCCAAAGTGGGTGCCATTTTTAACWAACTGGRTGTGGTTCTGATTAATGACCATCTTCCTACAGTATCCACACATGTCTGAGTCAGGGAGCGTTCACGGGGCCCGTTGGAATGTGTGACTGTGAGGCCCCAAATGAGCGCAGTTTATTTCAGGGATGGTGATCACACGGGCCTCCTGTGGCTCCGGGGCAGTGATCAGAGCGACATTTCAAAGTGTCTCCTGCGGCTCTGACCTCAGCTCAGAGGAATGTCACTCGCTGCTTTGAGTACGGTCACTGACTACATCCCATGTGTTACCCAAACACCCTCCTGAGAGGAACAAAAGGGGATCCTCTGGCCTTTTTTTAGCTTCTTGATTGATGCCCCAGAGGATTGATTTCCRAGCGTACAGATGGAGACGTGAGCTCAAGCGTCTGCAGCTTCTCAAATGAACAGATTTGACTTTAATAAGGATGATATTTGTTCTGGWGTTTCAGAACAAAACAARTCTGATTTTTCTTACCTGAACAAGCAGGTGTTTTGGTTTGGGGCCTCTCTTGCGATATCCCATCAGCTGCTCCTGACGTTCCCTGCAGGAGAAAGCAGCAGACAATCAGCCAAGCTCCTCGCATAAGACGAGTCATTGTTGCATAGCAACACGTCATGGGTGTCCTCCTCGGGCTCGCCGAGGAGAGGCCCRTGTTTTAAGACTGACGCTTCCTCCTGGAAAACATCCTTCTCTTCCTCCCACCAGCACCTCCTTCTCCCCTCAAACTTCAATTCTAGCTGCAGATGAATCTCTGAGCTTTTCCTCAGGCAGTAACTGAACACTGCCGGCAGTGATGTCAGATTCCTCCCCTCACATCTAATTACGACGACGGCTCGCTGTATTTTCACTGCCTGGCATTCAGACCCTTTTGGCTCCCCGGAGAGACGAGCAATTAGTTTCAGTAAAACACCTCCCTTTTAGGAAGGAGATGGGAGGAATCTGTAAAACCAGGCGCAGAGTGATGCTGGAGTTTTGGTTTAAGGCCGAGACAAAAAACAGAGACTTCCAGTCCTGTAGCTGCCTCACAGGCTGAAGCAAAACCTTCAACCTTGTTTCTGTAACACTGAAACTTCCTGATTAATATTCAGTCATGCATGGATTGTTTTGTTGAGTCTAGCYATCCTCTTGCATCCCTGTTACATCATGACCTGAGAGTTTGAGCGTCAGGATGATGTAATGAGCTGAACTGAACTCAACACCGGTGTCATTCGATCTTCAGGAAGTTCCCCTCTTCTTCGCCTGATATAAATGTGTCTGTAGGTGCTTTCAGCAAACTGACCACAGAGCCCATTCATCCCACATATGACCCGTGACTCATGAGAAACAAGGCCTGCATGGTTTCAAAGACACGGCTGGGCGAGTGCTGAGAGTCTGATCCATGGTACCGAGGACTGTAATGGATACAGCCTGAGAATGGAGAGGAAACAGTAAATCGGTGACTTGGCCAAACAAGACGTTGTTGTTTAACAGGTGAGTTCTGGTTTTTCAGCCTCTGTGCGTCAATCCTGCCTCCTTTAGGGGGAAACAACCACATTAATATCACTGCTGATCAAATATATGTATATAAAAAAACTTTAATAAACATAAAATCCAATATTTATTTGACTTGTTGAAGGTTTTCATTGTTATTAAGAGTTAAATTATCATAAAGCATGAAGTAACAACCAGAATCTGCTGCTAAATTATTTTGGGAATAAAATAATGATGAATGCTATTTAAAATTATTCAAACTAAGTATTCTTGAATAAAACTTGTAACTTGAAGTCCATCCTGCAGCTGGACTCAGGGCCCCTCTGGGTTCAGAACCTGATGCTGACTCTTAAATAAACCCTGCAGAGGGAGTGTTTGCCAGCTTTGATCTTAAAATAAACACATTGTCAGCACCTCTGACTGATGTTTGTGCAGAAAAACACAACAAAGGGTCATCCAGGAATCCTGAGTGACACTTCAGATGCTGTGAGGACAACTGGAAACGGAAACCTGCCCTGTTATGTAACTCTGGGTGGAACTGGTTTGGCAGCTTTGAACCYACCGGTCCTGGAAGGCATCGAGGAGCCTCGGGTCCAGGATGTTCTCCTCTGGTTCCCACGTGTTGTACCTGTCCACAGAGCAGACAGCAAACAGTTAGACACAGAGTTTCCACGGTGAGCCCTCCTCCTCCTGTGTGGAAGCACGCAGACATCGTTCCTCCCCGCGCCTCGTGCAACGCTCACGCGCTGCAGCAGGAGGAGGATTCACTCGTTCCGTGTTGTCCTTTCTGTACAAACATCATAAAACTACATCCATCATCTGCAACAGAAGCGCGCGGCCGCCCGTGCGCTTGCGCTGTTTTGCGCTCTGAATGTTTGTGCGGTCGCGGTCCTCACCTCGGGGACCATCCTCTCCACTTGACCAGATACTCGACCCGCCCCTGCGGAGGAGAGCAAACGGGATTCAGTGCGCGCGCTCAGCTCAGGAAAACAACAACAAGACATTTAAATAAAATAAATAAACACGTGATCCGKTGTGAGAAGAGAAATCAGCCTCGTCTCCTCATGCACGCGCGCAGAAACGTCCTCCAGCGCTCCGGAGACCAACCTTTCTGCTGCGCTTCTTCTCGATGCTCTCCACCGCAAAGACGTGCTCTCCGGCGGCGGGGAGCTCCATTTTCCACCGGAGAATAATCCACCGGATCCGTTCCCTCAGACCTCCTGCTSCTTCCCTGATGATGGAGACCCTCCGCTCCTCCTCCTCCACCTCCTCAGCTTTTTCTCTGCTCCTCGTCCCTCTCTGCGCCCCTCGGAGATCCTGYCTCCTCTCTCTCTCTGCAGCCAGAAAACACTTCACGCAAATAGCCGTGAGTGTGACGTCAGGGTGGGGGGAGGTGACGGGGGCGGGAATGGCCGTCTTGCTGCATTCAGGGGCAGTCTGTGAAAACAAAAGGAAAGACTGGAAACAGCTGGTGGATTTAGAAAAAAAAAACGTAGGATTTTTCTGATTGTTTGTTGTTGTTTTGCTGATGTTGTTGTGCTCCACTCAGACTGTTTTAACTGATTTATTAAACGCATTAAACACAATTTGTATGTTAGTATAATCCCACATTAGTTGTCTGATTGTTATTTTTAAAACTGTAGGCTAATTGTTATTAATATTTATCGTTGGTAGCAAATTATTAACTATTTCTTGGTACAGGGAGTCTGTAATTCTGTTTGATGTCATGCAAATTACAATAAATTTGACTCTAAGTCAAAATCAAATAATATGTAAAAGCCCCCCCACCCCCACCCCCTAAAAACAAAAGGTTCTTAGAAACAAACAACCTTTATTGCCTCCCTGTTGGTGCACAAACCGTTTCACAGACTTTGTCTCCTTACAGGGATAGTTTACATTTTCTATTGTGATTTATGTCTAATTACAGCTGTTTGATGCTCAGGGGCGTCTCAAACATGTCGGAATGTCATAAAGTCCTAAAACTGAGAACCTCTTCTGAGCCCAACACGAACTGTGTGGAGRTTTTGGTAAATCCGAGCTGGTCGGAGACCCTGAACGCACCATGTGCTCCTGGCTGGAGGCAGAGCTGGATCTCTGAGTGTTTTATTCTTAAACCTGAATGTGCAGCTCACAACCTGTATTTAGCAGCTTGGCAGGGCCTTGGATAGAGTTACCTCACATCCACACACTCGATTCTTTTAATCTGAGGACCTAGAATCATTTGTAAAGTGTGTTTTTTTTACACATTCTGGTGACATCAGATCCGCCAGGCCCCACGCGTGTCAAGGCCACGGCGGGTTTGATGTTGATTGATCACCACTTCTGGATTCAGAAGCTGCAGATTTAATCCTATGATGATGATGATGATGATGATGATGATGATGATGATGATGATGATGATGATGATGATAGAAAAGGTTGATGCTCCACACAGACCTGCAGAACCTCAGAGTCAAGGTCACACAAAGAGGTGAAGCGGCGCGGAGGATTCTCTGGTGGATTTCCGTGGGTTTAACTCTGAGTTCATCTTCCTCAGTCAGGACAGACAGCAGCCGGGTCCGGTCTGAACCGGCACAGAGCCGCTCCAGTCCAGGCAACAGAACCGACAATTAAGGCTGGAAACAGCAGCACGCATTTCTGGGAAACCACATAAAAGGTTCTGAAAACAAGAGCAGGGACACTAATTTGTTCACTTTCCCGCCAATTTGTTTAATTGTTATTTTCGGAACCTTGAATTTCACCTTTAAAATAATCCCGTGCGCACAGCGGGCTCACATTGTTGCAGATTAAATAAAATACAGCAGTGAGGGGGTTAATCTGAGGCTGCAGCGCTCGGCCTATCACAGGCAGGCACGAYTCACTTTCCTTATAAGGCAAGGAGCGTAAATCAGCGGGGAAATCTACCGCGAAACTGCAAAACCGCGCACCGGGTCCGAAACGACCTGATTGGACTGTCAGGACCCCCAAAGCCCCTCTCTCTACTTCACCTGTTCATTCACGCGAGAGACGTTTACGCGCGTGACTGTCGGGGGGCTTAAGCAGCTGCTTATTCAGCTGCGTCATTTTGACATTAATGATGAGAGGAAATACGTGCAATAAGAGCAAACCGGAAGTGTCATTTATCCCCATCCCCTCGGTTCCGTCTGGTTCCGTTCACCCGCGCGGCTGATGATGACGCGGTTCCTTTGGCACAATGCGCTCACGCGACAGTTTTATTGCGCGGCACGTGCGCCGAGAACGCATGGAATGTGACGGCGCACGTGCGTGTGTCTCGTGGAGACTTCACCTGAGCTGCGCTCCGGTGAAAACATCTTAAACCAGTTCTGCTGGGGAAAAAGCAGCCACTCCCAAAGTTTTCTATTTTTTATCAGATTAAATCAACTGAAATTAAGACGAATAAAATAAATATTTTTAATCAGAAACAGAGAGTGTGACAAAGGAGTTAATTTTGAAATTATCTGCCCTTTTTGTTCTGTTATATTTAAAATGTTTCATTTCTCCACCTCAGTTTGCACCTGCATGATCTCATCTTTAAAACTTAGTGTTTAATTAAGAGGTGAATGGAAATKACAAGAAAACAACCTCTCAAAAACTCCCAAATCTGGTGTTGGAGGGAGAATTAATTTCAAASAAAGAAAAAGAGCAGCAGCTGATGATGCTCCTGAGAGTTCAGGTGAAATGTTTGATTGACAGAAGCAGCAAAAAGAGAAACTGTTTAAATCTTTTACTGCAAAGAAAAACAAAAAAATGAAATGCTCCCTGAGAACTTTTATCAATGTTTATGAGTTAAAGTTAAAGTCTGCTTAGWGGATCAGCGGTCAGAGCTGAGGTCTCATGATCCCTGCGGCTGCAGGTTCGAGCCCCAGAGGAGGAAAGGAGATGATGCCCTGAACTCAAACTCTCCTGCAGCTCAGTTTGCTTCTGTAATCTGGTGTTTTTCTGTCATTAAACGCAGGTGAGGTTCAGTGGACAGCTTCGTTCCTCTGCTCCTGCCGGGACTCAAAGCTTCTCCTCTCTGTTTCATGAAGTGAGTCACCGCTGCAGCCCAGCCTCTGACGTCTTTATGATGTCTGTGGAAGCAGACATGGAGCGGCGGACAAAAGGAGCAGCATTTAGAGAGCCGTAAAGTCAACAAACACTSTGTGCTGTTAAAGAGGGGGAGGAAACACGTCATCTGTAAACAAACTGTCACTGAAACACACAACAGAAAAACAACACGTGTCGTTCAGTCTGTTATATGAGCTTTATTCTAGTTCTGTGATAAACAGGCRAACTCAGGTTCTTTACTTTTTATTGCACAAAAAAGACTTGAAACATCAGAAGAAATCTAACATTTTGTTAGAACTAAACCAGATCTGATGGTTGTTTTTGTAAAAGGTCAAAGGTCAAACAAATACGGGAACTTTAAACTGTGTAGCCAGAAGGAAAATGTCAGAACTCYGAACCGATCAACATTTAGTTGAATCTTAATGATTCTGCAAATAAATTACCAAAATAATGTCACCCATTCTACATTTAACTTTAAATGAAAGTCTAAAAAACTAAATTCAACTAATTTTTACCAACTTCAATAAAAAAATCCCRTTGAACTCTCATTGTAAAGACAAATAAGTTTTTTAATTGTTTTTGAAACATGTTCCCRTGTCTGTGTTGCTCCTCCATTTTGCATGACTTTCAAAGGTTTTTGCATGTCTGCTGTTCAAATGAAACAAAGAGAATAAAGTTAGTGTAAAAGTGCAGCACACCGTAAAGCCATCRGATGCAAAGCAGGAGCATGAAAAAAGACTCTGTTATTCATACGCTGTTTTAATGAAAGCAGGTAGATTTKCTTTTGTGCTGCGACATTCTTTTCTGTAAACAATTTATTGTTAAAAAACAGCAAAAACAACATATTAATACTACAGTAATATTAGGTACTGATGAGTCGATCAGACTGAACTGAAGCTTTAATCTGAGCTGTAGAAAACAAACAAATGAACATATGCAGGCAATTACATTGCATGACATTTCAGCCAAACAAACAAACAAACAAACAAACAAACAAACAAACAAACAAACAAACAAACAAACAAACAAACAAACAAACAAACAAACAGCTGGGTTTCAGGTTATTCGCTTCATTTTGTTTTTCCTCTTGTGACTCATCTCAGCAAAGCTTTTGACTGCCTCCTGGTAATTTTTTCCAATKTTATTTATTTATTTTTCAGTTTCCTGTTTGCCTGATGAGGTGAGGAACAATGACTGAACAGTTTTTATTTTAAAGAATTCATCTCGTCAAAGATAAACCCTGCCTGAGAAGCATCACTGTGTTCTTTAATGACAACAGCTGAAACAAAAAATGAAAACAAAAAAAGTAATTTATTGTCTTATAGTTGTGATAATTCTATAGTTTTGCTTATTTTAGCTTTAGCTAATGGTATGAAAGTTTTAGCTACTCTTGGTTAAGTTCAGCATGTTTAAAACTTTACATTTGTTTTGTTAATTTTAGCTGCAGCATCTGTTTAGCAAGTTACAAATGTTAGCATCTGTTCTGTTATTTCAGCATGGTTTTGATATAGTAAAGAATAATTTTGCCATTTTTTTCTACAGCTTCTGTTTTGCTAATTTTAACCATTATTTTAWTAATTTTTTCTTTAGCGTTAGATAATTTACTGTGTGTTGGCATTTTACAAAGATTGTAACAATACAAGTTGACAATTTAACTAATGTTAGCCACTCAGCTAGTTTCAGCAACTCTTTTATTAGAGATAGCATTTGTTTTGCTAATTCTGGCTAAATATGTTTAGCTAATATCAACATCTGTTTTGTTATTTTAGTTCTGTTTTACTAAGTAGCTAATTTTAGTGGTTAATTTAAATACTAAACTATTAATGTTTTTAGCTATTGGTGTTTTTATTAATTTTAGCTTCCAGCTCATTTTCTACTCTCATTTTCTGTTTGTGTTTAGCCTGATTTTAGCTTCTGTTCAGCTTGTTTTAACTTTAACAAGTCAGTTTTTAAGTCATTCACACGTTTTCTTCAGTTTTTGTTTTACTTTGTGCACTTAGAGTTTATGAGGCTAAAAACCACACAAAATATAAGAAGATCCAAACTTTTCACTGAAGCTGAAGGACCAGCGGTAATGTGATGAACTCACATCGTTGCAGATTTGTCTTCGTAGAAGTTATTAAAGCCAAATTTAATCTGTGAAGATTTGATTTGATTTGGGTTTCCTTCGGCGTGTAACAAATGTGTTTAAGCTGGCGAGGTGACAGAGTTAATTCTCMAGAT